GAATAGCAGGTTTATTTGGAAATTTTCCATCTGTCAAGTTTAAGTGAAAATTCGCCAAATGGAACAGAGCCTTAGAACCAAATCGACATCGGTTAGGCTTCTTGTCATTTGTGCCAACTGTCAAACTTTCCGTTTCCGTTCCGCTTCCGCCCACATTGCATTTGGGCCTTAACGATTGGAAACTCGGAACATGGAACTGTAAGTCTCTCAATTTCTTGGAAAGTACCCGCATTCTTTCCGATTTATTGAGGGTCCGCAAGTTCGACATCGTAGGTTTGCTGGAAAGGATCGTTGGTACTCGACGCAGCGTTGCCGGATGAGGGAGAGCTCACCGAAGCCCCTCTTGAGGACTGCGGGAGCAACGTGAAAGCAGCCATTAACAGCGCTGCTGAAGGCGCCGTTGGGTTCGTGGAGCGGAATCGACAGAACGATTGGTTCGACGAAGAGTGTCAGACGGTTTTGGACGAGAAGAACGCAGCGCGGGCGGCGATGCTACAGCAAGGAACCCGTCATAATGTGGAGCGATATAAACAGAAGCAAAGACAGTAAACCCATCTTTTCCGCCGTCTGGAAGAGCTGGAGTGCGAAGAAATGGAGCAGCTGTATCGTTCTCAAGCAACACGCAAGTTTTACAAGAAACTCAACGCATCCCGCCAAGGCTTTGTGCCGCGAGGTGAAATGTGTCGGGATAAGGAAGGGGATATCTTAACGGACGAACGTGAGGTGGAATCATCACTACGATAAACATCTGAACGGCGCAGAGGTGGAGGACCAAGGCGGCAGGAGGAATGGTTTCGTCGGTACAGCGGATGAGGGGGACATGCCAGCTCCCACGATAGGTGAAGTTAAGGACGCTATCCGACAGCTTAAGAACAACAAAGCAGCTGGGAAAGATGGTATCGGAGCGGAACTTATCAAAATGGGCCCGGATAAGTAGGCCACTTGTCTGCACCGACTGATAGTCAAGATCTGGGATACAGAATAGCTACCGGAAGAGTGGAAAGAGGGAGTAATATGCCCAGTATATAAAAAAGGCGACAAACTAGAATGTGAGAACTATCGAGCGATCACTATTCTTAACGCGGCCTACACACTTAGATTTTTTTGCCGAGATGGGCACCACCGAGCAGCTCGGCATTTTATTTTACTGGATCTCAGTGAAAAACTTGCCGAGATTCAGCTAACAAACGAGAAATTTGCCGAGATCTCAGCTAACAAACATATTTTTTGCTGAATTTCCAGCAAAATAAAATGCCGAGCTGCTCGGTGGTGCCCATCTCGGCAAAAAAATCTAAGTGTGTACAAAGTGCTTTCCCAGATCATCTTTCGCCGTTTAACGCCGCTAGAAAGCAGATTTGTGGGAGTTATCAAACCGGTTTTGTGGACGGGTGATCGACAACGGACCAAATCTTTACGTTGCAGCAGATCCTCCAAAAGTGTCGTGAATATCAAGTCCCTACGCACCACGTATTCATCGATTTCAAGGCCGCCTATGATACTATTGACCGTGAAGAGCTATGGAAGATTATGGACGAGAACAGTTTTCCCGGGAAGCTGACCAGACTGGTCAGGGCTACGATGGTGCTGCGTGAAGATATGAAGATATTTGAAACTCGCGAAGGACTTCGACAAGGCGATGGTCTCAATAAGTCCAGCCAGTTCATCTGCGTCGCTGACGACGTGGACATTGTCGGAAGAACGTTTCAGGCCGTGGCGGAGCAGTACACCAGGCTGAAACGTGAAGCAGAGAAGGTTGGATTAAAGGTGAATACGTCGAAGGCAAAGCATCTGTTAGCTGGAGGAACCGAGCGGGATAGGGCTCGCATAGGCAGAAGCGTGACAATCGACGGGGATGAGTTCGAGGTGGTGGATGAATTTGTGTACCTCGGATCATTGGTGACGTCGGATAACAACTGCAGCAGAGAAATTCATCGGCATATTATTGCCGGAAGTCGTGCTTACTACGGACCCCACAAGACCCTGAGGTCGGGTAAACTTCACTTCAGTACTAAATGTACCATGTACAAGACGCTGATAAGACCGGGTACGAGACGTGGACGATGCTCGAGGAGGACCTGCAAGCACTGGGTGTTTTCGAACGACGAGCGCTTAGGACCATCTTTGGCGGGATATGTGAGAACGGTGTATGGAGGCGAAGGATGAACCACGATCTGGAGCAACTCTATGGCGAACTCTGCATCCAGAAAGTTGCGAAAGCTGGACGGGTACGATTGGCGAGACACGTTTTAAGCATGCCGGACAACAATCCCGCAAAAATGGTGTTTGCCTCGAATCCGGCCGGTACAAGACGAAGAGGAGCACAACGAGCAAGGTGGTTAGACCAAGTGGAGCAGGATCTTGGAAGTGTGGAACGGTCAAGAAATTGGAGACAAGCAGCCACGGACCGAGTGTATTGGCGCAACATTGTGATGCAGGTGCAATCCTGGGGGATGTCGGACCAGGATAAGTAAGTAAGTAATCGATTTACTTCGGACCAATAGCCTATAGTCAAGTAGTGAGCCGATTTAAAATCGTTAGTTTCCACCGGTTGGTACTATGACGAGCACCTCAACGGTGATGCAGCAGAAAACGCGTAGAAGACGGTTACCGGCCCCTGATCTGCAAGAAGTTGAGGAGGATATCGGTCGGCTGAAGAACAACAAAGCAACTGGTCAAGCAAGATCAACTACCAAGTGAGCTATTAAAATACGGTGGTGAAGCACTGGTAGAACCAAAGATGAATACTAAGATGAAACTGTCGGAAGAAAAACTTTCTATTTTAGTGTCCTTTTTCACGGTCCCTTTCATCCAATGAATATCCCCTGTATTCAAGGTAATTTTGTGATTTTGCTGCCCCCTCGGTAGAGAAGAAATTTTGCGCTCATTTTAATCAAAACAATCACATAAAAATAAGAGATGTCCCATTTTTTAGTTACTCGATTAACAACTAATCAATTATTTTTTGTTCGCTGTGCTGCCTTTTCTCCACCAATGAAAGTGCAGCACATGTTTGAAACGATCGGTGATGATCCTCTGAAGATGTTAATGCTTATATCGGCATGACATAACCGATTACACATAGTTCGTTAATCGATTAATCAATTATTCGCATGAAAATCGGCCATCACTAGATGAATGTGAAACGTCAGTTCAAATATAAGGACCATACATAAATAGTGATACAATTTGAAAGGGACCGGAGCTAATCACAAATTACGTCCCCACGGTAACTGAAATAAACACGAGTGTTCACCGGTTGGTAGAACGCTGCACTGGGCCAATATTTGGGAGGAAGAGCTAATACCGGAGGAGTGAATGGAAGGTGTCGTATGTCCAATCTACAAAAAAGGGTGACAATTTGGATTGCTGCAACTACCGTTCGATCACACCAAAAAGAATACTAAGATAAAACAGTCAGAAGAAAACACTTTCTATATAAGTGTCCTCTTTTACGGTCCCTTTCATCCAATGAATACCCCCGTATTCAAGGTGTTTTTGTGGTTATGCTGCCCCCTCGGTAGATTTGAAATTTTCACGCTTTTTTTCTCAAAACAATCACACCGAAATCAGAGATTTCCCATTTTTTAATTACTCAATTAACAACTACAGTCAACTTTCGCTCGTTGGGCTAAACCTGTAGTCCACTAAGTGAAAAACTTTCGTTAGTTGGGCTGAGCTGTCAAGCTGAAAATTGGTTGAGGGATACACCGATTGTTTATTATCATCACAATCATCACAAGCAACTATCCAAATTGTTCATACATGAGCCCCTCGAAAAAGAAATAGCACTGTCAAAAATCACGCTTGACTTCGATTCAGGTGGTCTACAGCCCAACTAAGCCAAACCAAAACGTAGCCCAACTAAAACGTAGCGCACCTAAACATAGCCCAACCAGCGAAATTTGACTGTAATTGATTATTTTTTGTTCGCTGTGCTGTAGTTAGGGTACACTAGAAGCGTTAGGTTCCTATAGTTGTGCATGGAGACTCAATATACAACTATTGGAACCTAACGCTTCCAACGTACCGCAACTAGAGGAGAGTTTTGAAAACATCGTTTAGAGATAATTGCGTTTAAAGTTGGAACTACTAAGACACGCCGTTTCGCCGGTAACGGGCGGGTACTCCGAGCGCTCACCTGAGCGCGCTTGGAGCGTCTGGACACGAGTCCACTAATCGGCCTATAACTTTGGAACAATGTCACTTGCGGACTTGCGGTCAAGTCTATGTCAAAGTAGACATTCCAAAGTATTTTTTAAGCCAAAAAAAAGATTTTTGAAATTTCCAGAGTGGACTACCCCCTTAAGGTATTTCCGAAGCCAACATTTCCCCTAGGTATTCGACCCAAAATCTTTCAAGTTGGTTCCATTTTGGGTACTCAGGATACATGAGTGAGTTAAAAAATAGGAACGTACTAGAGAGGGTCTATAGTATAAGAGAGGAGCGGATTCAAAACAAAGTGCCTTGGCAACCTATGCCTAGGTAAGTTTTAGCAACACTGCCAGTGATATCAAGATAGCTGCTGGTCGATTGGCTCTGGCTTTGACAGTTCGTTTGGCGCAATACCAGCCAGTCAGCTCCTCTCTTATGCTAGAGCCTCTCTAGTACGTACCTACTTGCAATATTTTAATTTAAAAAATAATTTTTTATATCTGGAATTGGATCTAATTGGAATTAATCCTATTATCAAAATATTGATCCACGGCAAAGTTCGAGTGGTAAGAAACATCATTTTCAACTGCTCGAATGATGTGATCTTATGTTTAAAAATCCTTTTCATAATTCATTAAGATCCTCAACCAGATTTAAAAGAAACAAACCGGAAGAAAATATTTGGTTGTTTTTTTTTACAGTACCATCAAGAACTTTCACTCGTTGCAATTTGGCTAAGAAAAAAAATTCAAGTTCGTCACCCTGCAATTAACACTTCAATGCTAGTTAGGCGATACACCCCGTTAAATTACAAATAGAACATCCAAACATAATAGTCACTTAATCACCTCCCCAGCAGGTTCCGAGCACCAGAAACAGAACGACCACTCCGTTCTTCAGCGACCACATTGTCCACACTTTATCACTAACTATAGAGAATTCCAAACACTTAAACCGCTACTATCTACGTGAAGAGCACTTGAAAAGTCCTGTTACTGTCTGCTGCAGGTCTGTCAAACGACCCAACTCGGAGATATTCGATACCGTTCACCGAAGCCGGCAGGTGACTGGAGTTCCCGGGAGGTGTGATAATTGTTTTTATACCCAATCAATCCCTCGTAGTGAAGTGAATACATGCAGCGAAGCTTTTCGGTAGCGCTATTCATCAAAAATCATCAGGTGGCTTACAGGCCTATCTGCTACGGCTCCGTCCGTCCGTCCTCTTATTGGGCTTGTTTTCTATACACCCATTTAATTGTTTTATGAGGAAAAACGGGTGGCGTACCGTTTGTCGAAAAATTGTAATAAGTTCTTCGTGTGAGCGCGACTCTCGGAGGATGGATGGTACTGATGATGGTGGTGGGTAATTCGACTCCCGTTATCAGTCATATGGAATCCAATTGTGTGTAGGTTTGAGCCTACTTGCTACAAACTACTTATCACATTTCTGCTGGCACTCAAGAAGCGGGATACTCTCGTCGGTAGTCCCGGGTTTTGAAGCTTAGTGTATCCAACCAATTGAACCGTTCCACTCCATTGTGAGATAAGCTTTGAAAGCTGCCGTTTTTGGATGCTTATTGCACCGGCGATCATAGCTGTAACAGTAATGTGATCATTAAATTGCTAATTTGTGTGTGTCATTTTGAATGCTAGTATTTAGTTCGGCGAAAGCAGTAAATGGGAGCATGCCCCGTAACGTGGGTAGATCACATTTTCGTGGTTCGTCACGGGATGTAAGATCTACCACCGATTCCTACACACTTGGAAATACCTAATTTTACACGTGACGGAATCCATCTTTGCCATAAAGGATGTGACGTAAACAAACATGTCATGTAAAATTTAGTGCTCCGAGACTGAAAAGTTCATTACTCGACGAAAAGATCGTTTGATTGAGCTGAATTTCGCGTCTATTATGACTCAATTTTATGTCAAAATTTACGCTCGTATATGTCAGCCTCAGAGCACCTAAAGGTGCCGCCACACGGAGGCTATTTCTAGTACATAGCCAGCTATGTGATAGAAAACTATACTATAGCCCATAGGAACACCTAAACTATGACGTGATATTTATTTATTTATTTATTTTGTCGTCAATCAAATGTAGACCATTTTTTACAAGTTACAAGTCATGTGTTAAAATTACGAATAGAATTAAAGTACTGCTTTAATCAGGTTTTTGTCATTATAAAATCAATAGCTTCACTACACCGTTTAAAAAATTCATGTAAATTTCTGCGAGATATAGTGCACATAAAATTAACGCAAGATTTGGCGTAAATTTACGCGATATTTCGTGTAAATTTAAGCGCAATATCGCATAAATTGGCAATATTGTATGCAAGCTTGTAAATGATTTCACTGTTTATGCCAAGTATAGCTCAAAATTAAACGAAGTGACATTTTACGCGATAGTTAAAATTCAGATTTTTTTTCTGTGTATGTTTATTGTAAGCAGTCATAATTTGATTTAGTGGACCAAATTTGGCATAATTTGTGCGATAGTGATTTGTAGTAAATATATTTCGAGTTCGCAGTTGCCGAGAAGGTATGTAAAAATTAAGCTTTGATAACAGTTCTACTGAGTCAATTCGATGCGATACTATATCGTTCACAAACGAAACCATTGCAAATTCACGGCGCGCTTTCAATGTTTGAATGTTGATGAGTATGCAGAGTGCTTCATAAGATGGAAGAGAAAATCTTGTCCAACCTAATTTACGAAGAGCAAATAGTAAGAATTGCTTTTGCACTGATTCTAATCGTTCCTCATGCGTGAATGAAAAAGGTGACCAAACTAGGCTGCAATATTCAAATATTGATCTTACATATTAAATGTACAGTGATTTTATTGTATACGGGTCATGAAAATTGTAACTGAATCGTTTGATAAAGCCAAGCATATTATTTGCTTTGTTGATAATTGTATTATAATGATCAGTGAATGCTAGTTTTGAATCAATTATAACTCCTAAATCCCTAACTCGTTCACACTTTTCTACTGCCTGATTTCCTAATACAATTGTATTTTCTGGTTTGTTTCTTTTTCTACTAATAGCTATTGATGTACATTTTTGAACGTTTAGTTGCAGGAGGCTTTTGTTACACCAAACATAGAATAAGTTTATTTCAATCTGGTATGTCTGTATATCTTCTTTATTTCTTATTTCTAGAAAGAGCTTCATGTCATCCGCATAGATTAAAACTTTTATGTTTTTAAGAATAAAGGAGATGTCGTTTACAAATAAAATAAACAAAAGATGGCCTAGATGCGAGCCTTTGGAGACTCCAGAAGTAACAGTAATAGGGTTTGATTTTTCACCTTTGAATCTAACTATTTGTTGGCGATTAGTTAAATATAACTCAAGCCATTTGAGAAGTCCAGGTTCAATTCCTATTTTTTGTAATTTGAAAAGAAGCATGGGTATATCAATACGATCAAATGCTTTGCTAAAATCGGTATAGAGTGCTTCTACATGGTTTCCATTATCCATTGCAACCAAAGAATAGTTGACGAATTCAAGTAAATTTGAATTAGTTGATCGTCCTTTGAAGAAACCATGTTGTATGTTAGTGATTCTGTTTTTGATCTGATTGAATTGACGATCGCTTCGAAAAGCTTTGGGATACAGGAAATAATAGCAATTCCTCGGTAATTTTGTATGTCAGATTTTTTGCCACTTTTAAAAATAGGCACTAGAAAAGAGCTTTTCCATGTTTTTGGGAAGATTCTAGAATCTAGTGACATATTGAAAAGCCAGAATAATGGAGCTGTAAGTTCCAGTGCCAGGCTCTTCATAAATACTGGTGGAATTTCGTTTGGTCCAGAGCCTTTGGAACAATCCAAATTGTTCAAAGTTGCCATAATATCCTGCGCATTAACTTGATTAACTTGTATATCACTAATACATTCTGGGATGAATTCAAAATAATCACGATCACGATCATCTTCTGAAAAAGAGGTGTAAATTTCTTGGAAGGAAGTAGCAAATAGATTGCAGATATCGGCTGCGTTGTCACCAACCGTTTCATTAAAATGCATTTTTGATGGAAAATTGTCTGATTTTAATTTAGTTTTAACGTAATTGAAGAATTTTTTTGGACTAGATTTTATTTCGAGTTCGGTTCTTGAATTGTACTCCTCAAATGCAATATCAATTGTCCTATTTAATTCATCGCAAATACGCAAATAGTTTGCCAAATTTTCATTGGTGCCTTGCTTTTTATAAGCCTTATGTGCCTTTTGCTTTCGATTTTTTAAGTTTATAATTCGACTGTTATACCAAACAGGATGACGTTTTCTTCTTTTTAATGGAACTTCTTCAAATATTATTTTGTAGAAGACGTCAACAGTAGTTTCATAGTTATGAATTGCAAGTTATAGTTTAGAGCTATGACATAGACCCGAATTCATGGTCGTGTGTACACTCTAGCGATAGTTTCTATATCATAGTTGCAAGCTATAAACTATTCCATCAAACCGGAATAGTTCATAGTTTATTGGTCATAGTTTTTTGACAGCGCGGTGCTTTTGTATGTTTTAGAAACCACTCATAGACATCTTATCAAAATAAATTTGGAGTTGTGTTCGGAATATGGACTCTGGAGACTAGGGGATGGCCCACCGGAAGATCCGGAAAAGTGCTCAATTCATGAAACTGATCGTAGAGCTCCACGGTTTTTTAGAAACCACTCATAGACGTATTCAAGACCAACAATTGAAATGGCCTTAACTCCATTTTGTAAACAAACTTTGTAAGGCCATTTTCTCGCGAACCGAAGTGCGCAAAGGCAAACCAACATAATGAACAGGTAGGGGAAATTCTCCTCTAACCGATGAGGGTTTAGGTTTGCGAATGAAGGTTCCGGTTCGTGAGCAAATGGCCTTACAAGGTTTGTTTACAAAATGGAGTTAAGGCCATTTCAATTGTTGGTCTTGTATTATCACAATACATTTGGAGTTGTGATCAGAAAATGTATACTGGGGACCAAGGGATGGTCCACTAAAAGATCCGGAACATCCGTAAAAGTGGTCAATTCATGAAACTGATCCTAGAGCTCCGTGTTTTTTTAGAAACCACTCATAGACATCTTATTAAAATGAATTTGGAGTTTTGACCAGTGAAGGGATGCTGGAGACCACGGGATGGACCACTTATATATCCGGAACATAAGTAAAAGTGACCAATTCATGAAACTGGTAGTAGAGCTCCACGGTTTTTTAGAAATCACTCATAAACGTCTTATCACAATCAAATCGGAATTTTGACCAGAAAATTTATAATGGGGACCACGGGATGGTCCACTAAAAGATCTGGAACATCCGTAAAACTGGTTAATTCATAAAACTGATCCTAGAGCTCCGCGGTTTTTTGTAACCACTCATAAATTAATATGAATAATAACGCAATAAGATGGCTTATTGATTCAATTTTGATGTGATGAATTAAAATTATAAACATTAAAGATAGTCACTCGTTAACTTGTAGTTCCAAAGAATGATCTCCAAGAAGTCAAGAGAAAGAAATCCAAGAATTCCAAGGAATAATATTCAAAAATTCCATTAAAAGTGCCTAGAAGTTATTAAACACTTAAATACCACCTAGAAATCATCCATGATAATAAATTGAAAAATAATGTCCATGAGCAGTTCTAAAAACCATCGAGTGCTGAGATCAATTTTCTTGCACAATCCACTTTAACGGATGTTCCGGATATTCCGGAGGACCATCCAATGGACCCTGGGGTCTATTTTCCAATCACAACTCCGAGTTCATTCTGAAGAGACGTCTATAATCTTCCAGAGGAGCATTCATGGTCTCCAGGGTTTATTTTCCGATCATAACTCCGAATTCATAATTATAAGACGTCTATGAGAGTTTTCGAACAATACGGAGTTCTTGGAATTCACCAATTTTGTCGACCACCCTAATTTCCCTAACATAAAAATATTGGCCAAAAAATACGAAGAAACTTTCCGCAAGACACTATGTACCTAAAAGTGATGGTTTGGTCGCAAATATTTTTGTCTTCCTAAATACGACTTTGGTCCCCAGGGTAAAAGTTCTGGTCATAACTTCAAATTGATTCTGATAAGATGCCAATGAGTGATTTTGAAAAAAAGCGAACCTAATCGTGAACTATCTCGTGGTCCTAAACTACGCTTCGTTGTAGTTTCAAAAGAATCGTGTAGACTTCATGCCTGGGCTTTCTTTGCCAACCTACAGGTCTTAACCCGTAGGAGTAAGAAATACTTATTACTTTGTTCAGAGTAGTCGTTTGGCCAAGATCGGAGAACCTCCGGTTGGGTCGAGCTCAGAACGAATAATCCTGTTCGTATATTTCAGCGTTTCTTATTTATAGGGGTTATCGAATACAGTTTTCCTATGAGACAGCTGGGGCGACATCAATAAATGCATCCTTTGCAGTTTTACAAAATTGGGTTTTTTTCGCCTAATAAACATAAAGCACTGCGGCCGGTACGGGTTTCGCTGTGCGAGGTAAAAAGTGGTAACGAGTAGAGAGACTGAAGTAGAGACACTGAAGGTGTGCTTCTTTAAGCGTAATTATAATTTGCTGCCTGTGGGATATGTATGTAAATTAGCTATGGGTTTGTTCTCATGCTACAGTCCCAAGGGTCCATTTTCCGGTCAAAACTTCTATTTTATTCTAATGAGTCCCGTGGTCACCAGTGTCTATATTCTGGTCACAACTTTGAATTAATTCTGATAAGACGTCTATGAGTGGTTCTGAAAAATACGCGGAGCTTTAGGATCAGTTTCATGAATTGACCACTTTTACGGATGATCCGGATCTTCCGGTGGACCATCCCGTAGTCCCCAGGGTCCATATTCTTAACACAACTCTGAATTCATTCTGATGAGATGTCTATGAGTGGCTTCTAAAAAACCGCGGAACTCTAGGATCAGTTTTATGAATTGAGCACTTTTCCGGATCTTCCACTTTTATTGATATTCCACATCTGCCACAGGACCAGACTTGTGTCCTACCGGAAACTGACTGTTTCTTATTTCTCCAAAGACAACAGAAAGTTATCTCTTTAAATTGCCGTACAATCAGTGTTTGGTCCCAATTAGCTCTAATCCCATATACTATGTGAATTCGTTGTTACCGGTTCCTATAAATTACGTATGGCAGGGTGTGGTCCTCTGGAAAAGTGGTCTCGGCGATGGGAGATGTAGCTCATTCCTATACAACGATTTGGCGAATGAGCAGTCAGCAAATACCCCGCCGTCACTGATCCGGCCTTTTGCTCCTATATTGACATAGGTGAATTAGTATTCAGCGTCTACCAACGCCATCAGAACGATGCTGAATTGCTTTTTGTAATTGAAGTAGTCGCTGACACTGTTTGCAGGGGCTTTTATGTTGACGTGCTGTCTATCGAACGTTCCTGCACAATTCGGGAATTGTCATTTTTCTTCGAATCCCTGGGCAATTTTAAGCCACTCCTCTTCCGTTGACGGCATCTGAAATACTTACACTCAAGATTCTTATAGTACGGATTCGTTCTTGCCGAATTACTATAATACGGTTGATCCGGCATTAACAAATACATGTACCATATGGGATTTGAGCTAATTGTACGGCAATTTGTAGAGATAACTTCCTGATGTCTTTGATGAAGTTGTTAATCAGATAGATGGCCACCTTTTGGGAAGAGTCAGTTTCCGGCAAGTCACAAGATTGGTCCTGTGGAAGATCCGGAACATCCGTAAAAGTGGTCAATTCATGAAACTGATCCTAGTAGGCCTATTCTGCGCGATGTGTGAGGTGTGATGACTCTCCATTTGATTTGCACAGAGACTCACCTCATCCGAGGTAAAAATTGTCACTTCACCATCACTTCACTGTCACTTCACCTCACTTTTTGTTACCAGGTGAATCTTTGTCATTGAAGAAAAAATGAATGAGATTTTGACGAAGGATTTTTTGAGGATCATGTCTATCAGTGACTATGTGAAAAACAATGTTGTCAATATCGCGCGAAAGTCTGTCAATGGCAATAACAAATCTCAGCACTGCCAGGAAGTTATCTCTTCAAATTACAGTACAATAAGAGTTTGCCCCAATTAGCTATAATCTCATATCCGGAGTAATTGTATTTGTAAACAAACACGTAAATCGCCGATTTCTCGCGAATAAAAGCTCAATTTTGAAAACTAATAACACTGTGAGGTAGAAGTATGATTCTTCTATCATTTGGTATAGTTTGTTTATAAGATTGAGCTTTTATTCACGAGAAATCAGTGATTGACCTGTTTGTTTACAAATACAATTACGCCCAAATCTCAAATCACTTCGGATATGGTACTTGTATTCGTTAATGCCGGTTCCTGTAGTGAGGTTTCAATTAACCGTACTGTAGGAGACTTTACTTTATTGGATTTTAAAAAAAAACAAGCTTCAGTGGTATTCTTTCATGATACTTACCATTACTTAACTTTAAATTTACCTTTAAGAATTCACCTTCAATGTCACATAAATAGCATCCACTGTCTCTGTTATTATTTTGCTTATAGTCGATCTTCACAAGCGAAACCAATAAATCAAGGATGTGTAACTATCTCATTTAATCATAATTTTAAAATTTGGAGTTACAGCTTTGGGCATATTGTAATCCTGCTTGGTAATAACCGGTAAAACTTTCTCCAAAACATAAACAAAATACTGCTTTGTCATTCTGACAAAATTACGGTAGTATTCAGGATCTTCATCGCCCAACTTCATCAGAAGATTAGTCTCGATTACGAAGCCTCCACGCCGAGCAATCCAGATTGTACGACTTCTTCTTCTTTTCTTTTTTTTCTAAAGCTATCGGAAGTACCCATTTTTGCTTCCTGCAATTATTTTTTTATGATTCGCACCGGTTCATTAAGTGAATATAAATGCACAAAAAATTCAATCGTGTGTACGCTCGAAAATTCTATTTTATAGCACTACGTCATAGTTTTCTACTACATAGCTACCACAGACAAACAGACATAGCACTCGCAAGTTGTTCATCGAACAAGTTTTTAACGGTCAATTTAAAAGTATCATAGTTGGTAGTACCGCCACCTGTGGCGCGCAGTCAATTCCCTTGCGTTTGACGTTTACACACTACCGCCATCTGTTCAGCGTACTGCCCACCGCAGTGAGCTCAACAGATGGCGGTAATGTTTCAGCGACGATTTTTTACAGTGAGTAATATTCAATCTGTTATGTCTGTTTGTCTGTGTAGCTACTATTACGTTATAGCTCATATTTTTTGAAAATGGTTTCCCAAATCTCATAGAACTATGATATAGAAATCTAAATCGGCTATGTCATAGAGAACTATCACATAATTATAATGTGCCGTGTGGCGGCACCTTAAATTTACATGATTTTTTTTAAGTGTGTAGTCCTGACTACTTCAAACTACACACTTAGAAAAAAAATCATGTAAATTTAGGTGCTCTGAGACTTTTCGTCGAGTAACGAACTTTTCAGTCTCAGAGCACTTAATTTTACATGAAATATTTGTTTACATCTGATCCTTTATGTCAAAGATGGATTCCGTAACGTGTAAAGTTAGTTATTTCTAAGTGTGTAGGGGTACAGGATGTTTCAGTAATCAAGGGAACACATCTTAGTCCTTGCCCACCGATGATCTTGAAACGAGGAAAAAAATGAGTTAGCTAGTCTTCATCTATGTGATTCCCAATCTTCTATTCGTTGTTCTCTAGGTAAAAAAGGGTTCTGATGCATGGCTTAATTTTGTTGTTAAGGAATCCAATTTTCACTGACAAAAGGGGTTCGCCTTTGTAGGGTGCTCTAACTCTTCGAAGGGTATAACTAGCAGGACCATTCAGTAAGAATCGATTCCTTACGATGAAGGCAAGAATGAAAACTATGTCAAAACCGAATACTTCATCACTTCTCAATAGTGATTGAGTAATACGACACGCACTAAACTAACGACAAGGGATATATGTACTACACTAGATCAAAGTACTGGTCGCAGTGGTTTTATGTCCCGTACAGAGGAAAGAAAATGGGAGCATGTGATATTTTCGATTACGGGTAGTAAATACGTAGCGTTGCTTTAAAATGAGGTGCTTCCTGTAGTCAAAAGTATTGCTAAGTACAATTACCGTGCCATTTTTTTTAAAGTCTCACTCACAATTGAACCGTAGTTGTAAATTTATCTGAAAAATATGATTCCAAAAAAAAGTCTTCATTCTGAATTCTGGCATAGAAGTGCCACACTTCGCTTGACCCAATGGGCACTGTTCAGTCTAGTTCCGAGTAGTATGGGAATGACGTAGTTCGTTGAATGCCCGGTCGTCGAAAGGGTGCCCTTCCGTTCGGCAGTCTTGTACACCGGGCACTTGTAGCGATTGCCTTCCTCCAGTTGAGCGCTCTTGATGGGCTGAAATGGGAAAATTGATTATGAACCAAGTACACTGGCTAAAGTTTTCAAAAACTGAATAAGTAGGAGGGAGTAGGTTAAAAAATATGCTATGCTATGCTATTGTCAATCAAGAACTGCCTTCTTCCTTAATGATGTCGCTACCTGCTCCACTTGACTGGCCATCTCACCCAGCTTGCAACGTGGAGCAGGGCTTCTAGACTTCAAGAAAATTTATTATGTCTCATTACTGCAGTATCTTTTTGATCAAGACTGGGCCGATGTGTTTAAATACATTGCTGTTGGCAATAAACGGGATATTAGGAACTATCGAGGTATCACCAGTCTTTCGGCTGCGTCCAAACTGTCATCTTGAGCGAATTTGTCCTGAATCGCTCGAAGAACTACATTTCAATTGACCAGCATGGATTTATTCCCGGTAGGTCGGTGGCTACTAACCTTTTGGATTTCACCAGTACATGCATCACTGCGATGGAGGATAAGGCAAAAGTCGACGTCATATATACTGATCTGAAAGCCACATTCGACAAAATCGACCAGAAGGTTTTGTTATGCAAGCTTTCCCGACTAGGAGCATCTGAGCAACTTAGGTCTTGGTTACATTCCTACTTGACTGAACGAACTCTTCGAGTACGGCTAGGATCTTGTGTCTTTTCTACGTTTACCAGCACCTCTGGAGTAAAGGGTGATACGGTCAAAATTTGGTCAAGGGAAAACGCGTGTAAATCGGTGAAATCGTTTATTTAAAAAATCAAATTAAATTTCTTTTTCAAGTTCAATTAGTATAAAATTCAGGAAAAATATTCAGTTAGGCTTCCGCTTTTTCAAATCTGAATTGCCGGGCCTTACGCTTGACCCCTGCCATCAGATTTTGTACAGCCACCTTGTCCACCTTCTTCGCCGCAGAAAGCCAGTTTGCCTTGAACTGCTGCTCGCCCTTAGCAGTTTTTTTGGTCTTCTTTAGGTTCCGCTTGACAATAGCCCAGTATTTCTCAATTGGGCGGAGCTCTGGCGTGTTGGGAGGGTTCTTGTCCTTGGGAACCACCTGCACGTTGTTGGCGGCGTACCACTCCATGGCCTTTTTACCGTAATGGCAAGATGCCAAATCCGGCCAAAACAGTACGGAACAATTGTGTTTCTTCAGGAAAGGCAGCAGACGTTTATTCAAACACTCTTTCACGTAAATTTCTTGGTTAACAGTCCCGGAAGCTATGAAAATGCTCCTTTTCAAGCCACAGGTACAGATGGCTTGCCAAACCAGATATTTCTTTGCGAACTTTGACAGTTTCATGTGCTTGAAAACATCTGCTACCTTTCCCCTTCCTTTTGCCGTATAAAACTCCTGTTTCGGAAGCTGCTTGTAGTCGGCTTTGACGTAGGTTTCGTCGTCCATTACCACACAGTCAAACTTCGTCGTCGTGTACAGCTTCCGGGATCGCGCTTTGGCCGTCGTATTTTGTTTATCATCGCGATTTGGAGTCACTACCTTCTTGTAAGTCGATAGTCCGGCTCGTTTTTTGGCTCGATGCACGGATGTAGACGATACACCCAGCTTATTTGCGGCATCTCGGAGAGAGAGGTTAGGGTTTCGCTTGAAACTACCGGCAACTCTCTTTGTCGTCTCAGCGGCTTCCGGTTTTCGATTTCCCCCCGATCCAGACTTCCTGGCTGTCGACAAACGTTCCCCAAACACTTTAATTACATTTGTAACGGTTGATTTGGCAACTTTTTGCGATTTTGCCAACTTTGCGTGCGAGTAGCTCGGATTTTCGCGATGCGCGAGCAAAATTTTGATACGCTGCTCTTCTTGCTTGGACGGCATTTTGACAACTGAAGAGTGAATTCCAAAATCAAAATAGGAGCAACATTCTACACACACACACCTTCAAAATGAGGGGTGTTCAGGTTTTTTAAATGCAAAATTGAAAGAAATACGTCAAGTTGATATTGACCAAATTTTGACCGTATCACCCTTTACCTCAGGGAAGTAACCTGGTTCCACATTTGTTTACGTTATTCTTCAACGATGTAGCAGCTTTGTTGGGAGTTAACTGCAAGCTCGATTATGCAGATGATCTTAAGCTATACGTCATAGTTCACTCGATTGAGGATTGTCATCGTCTTCAAGCTCTGCTAGATTTGTTTGTGGATTGGTGCCGTCGCAATAAGCTCATCATCAGCGTTCCAAAGTGTAGTCCGCATCGTGCTCTCTTGCCGTGCGGATCTATTTGCTTTTTGCTTAAGGAAGTGTTACTACTACCTAAAGCTACAACAAATTTAAACAGCACTTTTCAGTGCTCAACCTGTAAAAAAATTCTACCTTGTTCAACTCCTCTTATTCCTCTTCGATCCTTGTTTGGACCCTACCCGAGGTAATCCTTCTTGGATATCGATTTGGAAAATTCCTCTTCGATCCTTCAGATTCTTATAGTAATCTGCTTGGAAGTCGATTTGGATACAAAATTTACTGCCGCCATGGCGCCTAAACGCAAAAGAAAGGGGCAAACTCTTGACCCCCCTTCTGAAGAAATTAATTTGAGTAATCAATTTGATTTGCTCACGGATGATGAGAATGATCCATCATCCAAGAAAAATTCTAGTAAACTTTCCCGGCTTAATGCCAAGAAGGAAAAGATTCCCCCTATTGTGATAACCACTACCGATTTCCATGCTCTTCGCATGGAACTTTTGAATTTCGTGAAAGTTAAGTTTTCACTACAAATTGGACGTCGGGGTGAATGCCGTGTATTGGCTGAAACCTTGGACGGATTTAAATGTCTTCTCAAGTATCTTACTGAGAAGAAGCACAAATTTTTTACTTACGACACCAAAACTGAACGTGTGTTCAAGGTTGTCATGAAAGGACTGCCCAGTGGTGAATCCCTGGATCAGATCAAAGATGAACTTACAAAATTACTTGGAGTTGTGCCACTCCAAGTAATCAAAATGAAAATGAAATCCCGTCCTGGCGATTCGCGCAACGGGATTTCTAATGATTTTTATTTAGTTCACTTCAAGTCTAGTGAACTAAACAACCTTAAGGCCTTAGAAAAAGCTAGCCTTATGCTCCATGTTCGAGTGAAGTGGGAACACTTCAGGAAGACTGGAGGAAATTTCCAAAACCTCACTCAGTGCCGTAAGTGCCAGGGATGGGGTCACGGAACTAAAAATTGCTACATGCCAGCTAAATGCATGAATTGTGGTGATTCCTCTCACGCAAAGGACGACTGTCCTGTGAAGGAAGATCCTAAGAAATTTAAATGTTCAAATTGTGGTGAAAACCACAAATCCAATTTTTGGGAATGTAAGACTCGCAAAGCGATCCTACAATCTCGTTCTAACCGACAGGTAGGAAACGCTCCACGTTTCCGACCAGGTATAAATTCCTCTGCTGTTAACAACGGTCAGCGAGGAACAAATTCTACATTCGTACCCGTAGGTACAAATATCACCCCTGCTTCAAATGTTTCATCTGTACCTACTCCCCTCGCTGCTAACAATGTTCAGCGAGTTAATGGAGCTACCTATGCTGCTATTGCAGCGGGTAGAAATCAAAATACTAACCAACGTTCTAATGGAAATTTTGACAATTTTGACTTAGGAAGCATTACTGCCCCTAAAATGGAATTTTTACAGAATTCATTAATTGACATGATTTCTGATATGCTTAAATCTAACTCCATGTTTGATGCTATTCAAATTGGAGTAAAATTTGCTAATAATATTGTCATGACTTTAAAATTCAGTAATGGATTTTAAAGCATTAAATATTGTAAATTGGAATGCTCGATCTCTTAAAGATAATGAAGACGAGCTATTTAACTTTTTGAGAGTTCATAACGTGCATATTGCCGTTATAACTGAAACGTTCCTTAAACCTGCCCATAAGGTTAAGAAGGACGCAAATTACTTGGTTTATAGAAATGATAGTCTTGATGGACCCTGTGGTGGCGTTGCCATCATTATTCATAGACGAATCAAATACAAAATTCTTTCTTCATTTGAAACCAAAGTTTTTGAAACTTTGGGAGTTTCTGTTGAAACAAAATTTGGACAACTTACGTTTATAACTGCCTATTTGCCATTCCAATGCGTAGGCCAGCAAAAGAATTTTCTCAAGGGTGACCTCCAGAAACTTACCCGTCATAGGTCTAAATTCTTCATTATTGGTGATTTTAATACAAAACACCGCTCATGGAATAATGCTCAAAGCAATTCCAATGGTAATATTCTGTTTGATGATTGTTCTGCAGGTTATTACACTATTCAATATCCAAACAGCCCAACATGCTTTTCTTCTGCAAGAAATCCCTCCACTATTGATTTGGTCTTAACTGATTCATGTCAACTTTGTAGCCAATTGGTTACCCATGCTGACTTCGGTTCTAATCACCTTCCAGTAACTTTTGAAATATCCCAAGAAATAATTTGTAATCCCAACAGCTCTACTTTCAATTACCATAGAGCTGATTGGGAGCAGTATCGAACATTTATGGAATATAACTTCGATCTAAACATTCCTTTGCAAACCAAAGATGAAATTAATTATGCTCTTGAATCTCTGACTACTTCTATAGTTGAAGCAAGAGCTGCCTCAGTACCAAAATGCGAGGTTAAATTCGATTCAATTATAATAGACGATGATCTTCAGCTCTTGATCCGTCTTAAAAATGTCCGTAGGAGACAATTTCAAAGAACACGCGATCCTGCCATGAAAGTTATCTGGCGGGATTTGCAAAAACAAATTAAAAAGCGATTCTCTGCCCTGAGGAACAAAACTTTTGAAAATAATGTTTCTAAATTAGACCCGAGTTCCAAACCCTTTTGGAAACTCACAAAAATTTTGAAAAAACCTCAAAAGCCAATTCCAGCGCTTAAAGAAGGTGGTAAAATTTTGATCACAAATTTGGAAAAAGCTCAGAAACTTGCGAAGCAATTCGAGAGTTCCCATAATTTCAGTTTGGGTCTTACTAGTCCTATTGAGAATCAGGTTGCTCGGG